CCCCACCACCACCATCACCAATCATCATCATCATCATCCATCTACCCATGCAACCCCCCCCCATTTTAACCCTACCTACTACCCTACCACCCAATCAATCATAAATAGGATCACCACCCCGCCCTCGCTTTACTTCATTAGCCATTTATTCCTTATTTATTATTATTATTATTTTCTTTTTCAAAGTTCATTTGAATTTCTTATAATTTGAAAATACTTTGGAAGGAATTAATTATTATTTTTTTATTTTTTTTTTACATTTCTTTTTAAAATTTTGAATTTTAGTAATTCTTTTTCGATTGTTTTTGAAAATATGTAGAATTTATCATTCATTCTCGGCATTTCTTCCTCGACATTCGAAAATAATTTTAATTCATTCTTTTTCAAAGTTTTTCATAATTCAAAAATATTTTAGATTTTTTTCTTTTTTGAAAATACGTTCGAATTAATTCATTATTTTTCGACATTCCTTTGAAACTCAAAAATAATATTAATTAATTATTTTTCAACTTTTTTGTTTGAAAATAAGTTTAAATAACTTTTTTCTTTTTTTATATATTTTTTTAATTCGCAAAAGAATTATTCAATTCCTTCCTAACATTTCTTTTTCACAATTCGGAACTACTTTTAATTCATTCTTTTTCAAAAAATTTGAAAATACGATATAATTAAGTAAATTACTTTTCGATATTTCTCTTTCGAAATTCGAAAATAATTTTAATTAATTCTTTCTCTCGTATATTTTAATTCATCAAATTCCCTTTTCGAAAATTTACTTGAAATTCGAAAGCGCCTTATGATCAATTCTTTTTCGAAATTCTTTCTTGAAATTCAGGAATATTTTAGAATTACTTAAATCCTTTTTTTTTTAAATTTACGTTTTCTTGTAAAATTATACCCCAAAATTAATTTTGAATAAAATTAAACCCAAATCAGAATTTATTTTTCTTTGAAACTAGTTATTTCCTTTTTCCTAGGTTACCAGCCCGGACGTCCGGGACCCTTTTCTATTCCGGGTTGTCCGATCGGACAACTCCCCCAGTTGTCCGAGCAGGGCCCAGTGTCCGGTGTGGTGAAAAAATCGCATGTGGGTCCAACGGGGTTTTCGGCCCTGGGGTGACGTTTTTTGGGCTTCGTAGTACCCCTTCTTCCGTTGTCGAGCGCATCGGTCCGGCACCGCACAAGGCAGAGCGGGACCCTCCTGACCGTGTCACGCAGGAATTGGTCTAAATCCTTGTTGCAAATGCATATGGAGCTTCCACAAGCCGCTCCGGCCGAGTGTGCCAGCCATACCTCTCGCGAGCCCCTACGACAGGATAGGGCCTACGCGAGGCACGACTTACCTCCACCTTACGGGAGTTGTCACCTCCCTTCGATGGGCGTATTTGCGCCGAGCTACCAGTCCACAGTACGAAAGCTGATCAGTTGCAATCGCAGAGGTGGACCAGCCGAGGGCGTTTCTCGTTCACTGTAGCATAGGGGGTCGCGCGGTAATATGCCTCTATCGGACCCGCACGCGAACCGACATATTGGGGGGCTGAGGTCCCAACCGCGACTCGTCGCCGGTCGACTAGGACGCATCCCACACGCCACGCGCACACCGCTATAAAGAACATAAAAAATAAATACACGTACACACTTACACACCTATACAAAACGACATTGGACAAAACAACACGACAACACTCCTAGTCCCTTAGTGACCGTCCCATACCTCTCCGATGCGGAAATCAATTAGGCGCCATGCACGAGACTTAGTATAAAACCGCGCGGACGAAGGGCCTACTCATATCGACTAGCAATGCAATCATACGCAAGCAGTCGCAATGATGGCGTACTATGTAGTGCCCATAATCAAGCGGTCCTTCGTGGATCCGAGTACCGCTTATGACACTCAAGTGTCAGATTCGAGGTATCGTGAAGGTTTGCCCCTTCACGATATTGCACGGCTGAAGGATTAGTCGTGCTACCGCCGCGAGACCTCCGACTTTTAAGCTGAGTGTCTTGGCAGGCAGGGCAAATAGGCTCTGCACGGGGCGAGATTCCTTCCATGTAGAGTCTAGGGCATGGGATGTCCTGGACAAGGACCTCGAATCCAGGCCCAGGACCAACGTCCGACTAAGAAATTTTTAAGAAGCATACAACAAGATAGAGGGGTTTTCCTTCTCTTCTCGATCTCAACCCCCATTTAACCGTTAAGCGTAGGCCCCTCAGGCCACGCGACCACCCTGCATAGGTACACATATATATATATATATATAGGGGAATAAGTATGTGACGATCCATTCTCACAATCACAGTGGGACTCCTCACAACCATATGTATATGTGTGATCGCAGAACGTCAAATCCAAAATCCGAACCACAGAATATACCTGCAATCACATCAAAGAGTCAAACAAGAGTCCACGCATTACACGGAGTCAAGTCCAACCACTCGCTACACTCGTACCCCTCGCTTTAGCCATGCAAGCCCCAGCCTCTGTCCAACCAACCATAATTAAATACTCAGTACCTTTGTTAAATGACAATTCAATAAAAGTCCAGGCGAAAACCTTAAAATAAAAAAAAAAATCACCAGGGCTAAAGCCTTTTAGGTTGAGTATTAAGGATGAACTGGAGTTGAGTCGTAGACCGACGAATCGGCAACCGTTCTGTTATCAGTGATAACAGAAGATGATCCTTGTAGGATCAAGTTGAATCTAGTCCAAATCTTGAATCAAGCGATCAAGAAGACCTGTAACATAAGACAGGCCAATCCCCATGCTAAATCTATAAGTCCAAATCGAAAGTATCCTCCATATCATGATTTCATTAAAAATCGTTCTACTTAACTAATCCTAAGTCTACCTCTAAGTCAGTGCCTAATGAAAAGGTAGACCTTTGGCGGAATCTCCTCTATGTAGAGTGGATTGCCAGCATTGCCACCTGTCAAAATATAATCTAACTCCTCTAAACAAGGAGAATTTCGACAACGCTTCCCGTAGAAGAAGTGCCTTTTCAGAATTTATAATAACTTAAATATGAAAACAAAAGACAATCGTCAACTCTGAATAGTCAAAATTTGTTCGCACCCACTCCAGCCGTCCCGCTTGACAAGCCAAAATCCAAAACGACAATCTCCGTATCGCCACCGCCGATACCTTACTCCAGCATTGCCGAGTACGACTGACGACTTGTCCCTGCTTCCCTTTGCTGGTAGTGCCTCCCCATCCACTCCTGCGTAGATCCACGAGGAACACTGCCAGAAATTTCAACAAACCGTCGAGAGAGAGAGTCACGGTTACATCAGATTCAAACACCAAACCGTTCCGTACAGGCAACTGTACCGTGGCCAAGATGGACCTTGGACTGTCTGGATAACAGGGATTTCGCAATTCCGAAAGAT